CCCGCCGTTCCCAGTCCGCTCACTCTTTCCTTCCTTCACACACCCCTCTCCTCCGCCCCCAACCGTACATGCTTTTTCGCCGTCCAGTCTTTTATTCAGAGTGTGGGGGCCCCCGTGGCCTCTCATTCAAAGGTCGTGGGCTCGAATGCAGGTAGCGACCGAAAAATTTCCTTCGCTAAAATTGTCTCCTTTCACCTTCTCTTTTCTGTTCTCTAGCAATGCTCTGTTGTCTGCTTTGGTCTCCACTTTCTGCCCCAACCCCCCTCACCTCCTTTGCCTCCTCCTCTGGGCTCCTGGCTTTTTCTGCAGCCTTTCTACGACTACTCTTTGGCTCCTACTTACTGCTGTCTTTCAGCCACACCTCTGATCTTCTGATAGGAAAGTTCAACACCTAGACTTCTCGGACAAGGGCGAAAAATCTCGGAGGTCCCGTGTGCAAGTTGCGCACGTTAAAGATCCCTTGGTGGTCTAAAAATCGACGAGAGTAGGCTTTCGCCGCCACCCGGGCAAAAATCAAAATTTCCTACAAAGCGAAAATATTAGGTGTGTCCCGCGCGCTCATATGACCTTATGCAGTTGCGAGCGCCGTTAAACACTTACAAAAAAACAAAACAAAAAACATTCAGGTTATTAATCTATGAGGGTAGCTCATAACACTCATACTACAACTTTATCATCCCAAACATAAATGCTCGCATTTTTCTGCTGCCGTACCTCGTGTGTGTTATGTGGGTATGTATAAGAAAGATGTATATCGACGATCAGCTGTTCAAATGTAGTGTGCTAAGTCCCGTTCTGATTTTTGAAAAATGCAGTTCTTAATCTTTGGTATCGGTTGTAGGTGCTAAAAAATATCTATTTGTCAAAATTCAAATTCCAAATGCCAGAAAAAGCAAGACCCCCCCCCCCAAAAAAAGAAGCAAAGAAAGCTTAAGAAAAACAAAATAACACGAAACAAACAAACAAAAACCCAACCACAATAATATAGGTACAACTACGTACGTAGGCCCACTATCAAAAGAATGAAACAGATCACTTTTCCCTTCCCTGTAAAATTTTGTTTTCTGGGCTTCTGGACTTAGTATGTTTTAACAAGTTGCCAACGTATTAAAAAGAATGTCACACTAGCGTCCAGGTACCTTGAGCAAGATGACCCAAATCTTAGGCTTTAGATGATCATGTATTGCTTTCAGCTGTCATTACAGTCGCGTCTATTGGTGACAGTTTCCCTCTCACGCACTACAATACATCTTGGGAATAAGCATAATAGGCACAATCAGCGCGTCTCGGCATAGGTTCATCAACAAATTGGTCACTTTTAAACACAAGGGGGCTATACAAAAAATACTGCTTTGAGAACATTGAAGGTAAAGTTTTGGACCCTTGTTCAGTTTCTTTAAAAGACAAGGAGAGTTTTCTCTTTAACCAAACAAATAAACACACCAATGAAACCAAACTTCTCCAATAGATAGGGCAATGCCCACTTTTGGTGTAGGTCATGATTTCTGGAAATCCCCGAAATCTGGGTTAGCCCACTTGTACTAAAAAGCCACGAATTAATGTATGGTTCTTTTCGTCTATGCAGACATTCAATTTAGCTTAAGATGGTCTAAAGGTTGTCTTCATGCAGCTTCTTTCTTGGCTAATTCTTCCTATGTTTGAAGCGCAGATTCTGTCGCAGTGCTTGCATGTCAGTGTCGTAGATCGAAGCTCTGTATTTCCGCTGTTTTCCTTTCGTCGTTGGCGCTTCTCAGCCTGGTTGTTTCTAAGGCTGTTCTCTAGCATTTGAGTTCTTTTTAAAATAATTTTCCTCCATGTTTTCCGGTCCTCAGCTATTTCTTCCCAGATGTTAAAATCTACTCCAAGCTTAGATAAGCTGTTTTTGCAGGTGTCTTTGTACCTCAATTTTGGCCCTCCTCTTTGTCTCTTTCCCTGGGCAAGTTCACCATAGAGAAGTAACTTCGGAATCCGGTTGTCATCCAATCTCTTGACATGACCCAGCCATCTCAGTCTTTTTAAGCACATGGTAGTTGCCATGCTCTGGGGGTTTGCCTGTGCCAACACTTCAACATTTGTAACCTTGCGGCAGCATCTGAGATGGAAAATGTCGAGGCGCTTTTCTTGTCTGCTGTACAAGGTCCATGTTTCAGATCCATAAAGGAGTGTGCTGAGGACACATACTTTGTAAATCTTGATCTTTGTTTTGATGGTTAATCTTTTGTTTTCCCATGCTCGTTTTGTCAGCCTTCCAAAAGTTGTTGCTGCTTTCCCTATCCTGATGTTGATCTCATAATCAAGTGATGTTGTGGAGCTGATGGTAGACCCCAGGTAACAGAACTTGTCCACTGTCTTAAATTCCTTGCCGTTCAGCCATATATGGCTCTGCTCTGCACCTTCTTGGGTAAGGATGACTGTTTTCTTAACACTGATGACCAAGCTAAAGACCCTGCATGCTGTTGATAGGCACGAATTAATAACAGAAGTTAAATATAAAATGCGAATGAATCCCACATTGTTGATCTGTTTTAGAAATTTGTGTCACAGTAGGGTACATAAGTACACAGATACATTATTACATAAGTGCATGGATAACACACACGACAATATCACAAAGATAGACTACCCACACACCATTGCCGGTCGCCACAGTGCACCAACCACCCTGTTTTTGAGCCAGGTTTATCGTGTCTCGCTCAAGGACACACCCCTGTGACCATCCACATAAACACCGTATCAGCACATAGATCTACATGTGACATTACGACGCTACCTCAGAACTACGTAGTTCTGTTTGACCGTGCTATCCTTTTTGGCTGTTTTGAGTACTGTAACTAAGACCACGAGGTCAGATTATCTACTCTTCCAAAATCGTACGATTATTCGGAGTCGTTATCAAAATATTTAAAGAATTGTATAAAAAAAAAGCTTGACATGTCGATGCCTTAGAATTACAAAGTTCTATCTGACATTTTTTAAACCGTTTTTATTACTTAGACCAATATAAGGCCAGAAACCAATTGTTCTAGATCTGATCTATCAAAATCGTAAGATTATTCGGAGTCCTTGTCAAGATATTCAAAGAATTGTTATCGAAAAAAAAACTTGACATGTTGAGAAACTCAACATTTTTGTCGTCACACTTCTCAAAACTAGATCTAGGTACTGAGCATCTGCCTTGCGGAGTCTCATTATCAAATTATTTCGTTTTTATCCGTGCAGCCTTGAACCCATAGATCTAGAGAGCAGTGTGTGCTTACATTAAAAAACAAAGTGGATAGGAAACCAATAGTGTGTGTGTGTGTGTGTGTGTGTGTGTGTGTGTGTA